CTCCTTTTGTCATGCGACGAGAATATAGCCTCTACTTCAGATGCAACTCGCTTGTGAGACTTTTGGTCATGTACAGTTGCTCCAACTTCAACCATAATGCAGCAGTTGTCTTCTCCTTCAAAACGCCCTGAAGAATGTTGTTTGAGAGATGAAAATGAATCTATGAAAATGCCTTTCAAACCTTCCGTTGTTCCTCTTCTGTTGTCCAAGTTGTGGGCATTCTGTCAAATCCTAACAATGCATCATCCGAATTCATCTGTACCAATATAGCTCACATCTTCATTTGCCACAGTGAAAATCTTGTATTGTGATTTAAAAGCAAAATTTCATACTTCATGATTGCCATCGATAACAGAAACCTCAAACAAAATCAAAATCAATAGCTCTGATATGACTTCTAGGATTCCCGACAAGATTTATGATACCACTTGTTGGGAACGAGGATATGACACAATATAAAATATTAATCACACAAGTGAAAACAAGATTAAAGCGAGAAGAGGGACCGGTAGAGACATTGAGTAATTTTTATTAATTGACAACCCAAGGATAGAAAAATACAATTTTAGCAATATATAAACTGGAAAAAGAGTCTCGTACTTATAGGGTATGTCCCAAACCCTAGAACTAACCTATAAGATGGAAACTAAGTGAAAAATATGTGTAAAATTTAAAAAGGCGAAAAATCTCCACGGCGTTGTTGCTTGAGTGAGAAGTGAGCGACAGACCTATCACTTGAGCAATAGGCTGGCAACAGATCTCTGCTTCCAAAAGTTTGTCTATTGCTCGGGCAGTTGGCTAGCGACCTCCAGCGTCGTAAATTCGACTTTTCCTTCTTGGACCCTATTTTGACATCTTCAAGCTCAATACTCCAAAACTCGCAACCCTAAACGGAATTTGGGTCATAAACCCAGTGTGGGTGATTTTAGAGAGTACATCATGAAAATGGTCGACATAACTTCTAAGCTGACTGAACTCGAAATCTCCATTGCTAAGTCTTTTCTTGTCCATCATGCTCTTAATTCTCGACATTCACAATTTGATCAACTAAAAACATCATATAATGCTCAGAAAGGCAAATGGGATACTATTGAACTCATCTCCATCTGTTACCAAGAAGAAAAGAGAATTCTTAGAGATTCTAGTAGTGGTATGAATCTAGTTGTTCAGCCATATTCAAAAGTATCTTCCTTCGTCCACAAATCTTACAAACACAACAAAAGTGGTAACAAGATCAATAACCAGAAGAATAATGTTGCCAAACTTACTATTAAGAAGGAGATTAGTTGCTGGTTTTGCAAGAAAAAACGCTCATAAGAAAGCTGATTGCCACAAGTAGAAAGCTTGGTTAGAGACGAAGAAAAGTTATGATAATCCATTTATTTTTCTTTGTTTTGAATTCAATTTGATAGATGCTCCTTCGAATTTTTGGCTGTTTGACTCTAGGGCTACTGTTCATGTTGCCAATGTCTTACAGGAATTCAAGAACAAAAGCCAATTGACCATGAGAAAATGTTGGTGGTTGGAAATGGCATTCGAGTTCAAGTTGAATTTGTAGGAGTAGTGGAGTTCATATTAGAGACTAGTTATGTTCTTGTTTTGAATGATGTTGCCTATGTACCATCTTCCAGGGAAAACTTGATTTCCATTTCTAGGATGGATCATGCTGGAATTTTTTTGGTATTGGTAATGGAAGTTTGAATTTGATTTTTAATTCAGTTATTGTTTTGGCACTATGATTTTATGCGACGAATTATATAGATTGAATTTTTCTTCCATGGCTGCTTCTCTGAATGTTGAAAACATTGGTGCTAAAAGGACATTGATTAAAGAAAGATCCTCCACTTTATGACACAGACGTTTAGGTAACATCCCTAGAAATAGAATAGAGAGATTTATAAGAAATGAAATACTTCTTGCTCCATATTTCAATGATTGGACTTGTTGATGTAATCCAAGAGCCGAGCCCAACAAAGACGAGTCCAAGGCGAGACCCGTTGATTATTGAAGGTGGACTGATGACTCGATCTAGGGCAAAATGGGTAAATCAAGTGATGAGGCTATCAGTTCAATCAACAATTGATGAGATATCAATCGTGGCAAGAAATGAGGCAAATTCCATGTTGGGGTCGAAGCCCAAAACGAGTTGGGTCAATGCGATACAAGCAATCGAAGACAGAACCAGCAAGTTCTAGGTATGCAACCGCAGAGTGGAAATGAGTGTGCAATCGCGCACAAGCAGGCAAAGAATTGGGCTAACCATTTCATGTATTTCATGGGGTCGCACCATGAAGACCCATGTGACTGAACGACACTTCTTCGTAACGAAAATTTTTCTTTTTCACGAATTTCCTTATTTTGTTAGAATTATATTTTTGGTCAAATTATTATAATCTTTAATTAATATTTTTCATTTTTTCTAGATTTCTAGGGCTAGTATAAATATGTTTTTCATTCTTCCATTGTACAACTTAGACATTATTTTGAGAAAAATTAAAGAGCGTCAATTTTTGCTTTCCAATCCTTGTTTTTCTTGGAACAAATTTTGAACTTATCAAGGTGAAAATCTTGTGGCATTAAACACAGGGCACGAATTATGAATCGTGTAGTCAAGAGGTCCTTCTCATCTTTGTATTATGGAATTGCTTGGTTCATTATTGTTGGTTCAAGTCTACAAACCGGGAATAATTTTGACTTTTTTAGGTTAGACAATCTTTTGTGGGTTTCGTAGTCTTCATATCAATTGGTATCAAAGCCTGGGCTCTAAATTAATTAAGGTTATATCTTTTAATTTCCATTGTTGAGTCTTTATTTTATTTTTTCCTAGTATTTCCCTGTTCTTGAGTTCTTCATTATTTCAAGTCTTTGATCCATAATACTTTCGTCAATTTTTCAATAGTTTTTTGTCTAATCTAGCATCCAAAACAACTTTAGTTTGATTTTGTAGGTATTGTGATCACTTTTTCTTCAAGAGGAAAAAAGGGGAGAAAAGCAGAAAAAGGATTCACAAATGAAAGGGACTTACAAAAAAAAAAAAACTGTTATTATTATTTTACTACCTACAAATTATTTTTTTGTTTTCAATTTTTCGAGTCGCATATTCATTTTTGTCTAGTCAATTGAAAGTTCATTTCAATCAACTCCTAAATTTCATTAGTTTTTAATTCGAAATTTCATTCCAATTGTTTGAAGTCCTCCTAAAGTCACTTGTCTTGACTACATACGGTTTAGAATCCACGAGACTAATTCCTGTTGAGTTCATTTTGTTCTTTGAAATACTTGGACGGAAGCACTGAGTGGAAAAAGGTAGAGTGGGGAGAATAATAGAGGGTAAAAGACATATTGAGTGATACACGAGTGAAAATACAGGTGAGGTAGAAGAAAATCGTAGACTTAGGATGTCTGACAGAGAGGATTCCAATTCAAGTAGAAACGGCAATCACGTCACCACGTCTAACGATATGTGCAACGACTTGAAAGATTGTTAGCGGATATGGGTGATAGGTTGGATAGGGTTGATATATCAGTTACCAATCTTAGTAGGGGACAATGAGGTGATGTACCTAATACAAGGAGACAGGGTAGACGGGAGCCTAGGATGGAAGTATGTGACGAGTACAAATACGATAATGAGTTGGATAAGGATGGATTAACGGAGGTTGAAATGGTGTGAATGAGAAATAGAGGAGCTATGCTTGAAAGGATAGGTAGAAATAACGTTGGCGATGAAGTAGATGAAAATAGTCGTTCTTGAATTCACTGATTACGCCATAATTGGGTGGGATCAAGTTGTTACATTACAGCATAGGAGTCGATAACGACCTATCAATACTTGAGATGAGTTAAAAGCTATTATGCAGAAGCGATTCGTACCTAGTCACTACTATAGCGATCTCCATAAGAAATTATAAAGTTCGTATTAGAGGCCGAGGAGTATGGAGGACTATAACAAGGAGATGAATACATTAATGATTATGGTGAATGTGGACGAGGATCGGGAAGCCACTGTGGCTCGATTTCTAAATGGGTTGAATAGGGATATAGCTAATGTAGTAGAGTTGTAGCAATATGTGGAATTAGAGGATATGCTGCACATGGCACTGAAGGTGGAGAGGTAGTTGAAGAAGAAAGGGATAACTAGGCAACCATTGGGCTCTTCGACTTCTAATTCATCTTAGAAATTGAAGTGGGATAAAAACAAAGGAGACGGGCTGCTTCTAGAAGAAGGACTGAATTGCCAAGGGGAAAAGAAGAAAGTACTAGCAAGATCGTACCCAAGGCGAAGTCACAACCATCAAGGAGTCAGAATATTAATTGTGTTAGGTGCTTGGGGTCGAGACACATCGCTTCTCAATACCCAAATAAAAGAGTGATGGTGTTACAGGACAATGGAGAAGTGGTGAGTGAAAGTGAAGTTGATTATGGCAACATGCCGGCATTGGAGAAGATTAGTGATGGGGAGAAATAGAGTTTTCTATTGGGAAACTAATAGTCATGATGCGAGCTCTTAATACTCAAATCAAGGCGGACGACTTGGGCAACAGCGGTAAAAGAAATTCCATACTCAATGCTACATTAACGATAAGGTAATTAGCATGATCATTGATGGTGAAAGTTGCACGAGTGTAGCTAGGACAACTCTTGAAGAGAAATTGAAGTTAACTTTATTGAAATACCCTAGACCTTATAGGCTGCAATGGTTAAATGAATGTGGATAAATTAAGGTAAATAGAATGGTACTGATAAATTTCGCAATAGGTAGTTATCATGATGGAGTAATGTATGGTTTAGTACCTATGCATATGGAACATCTTTTATTGAGGAGACCACTGTAATACAATAGGAAGGTCATTCATGATGGGTTCAATAATTGCTATAGATGGAAGGTCCATTATCCTCGCGCTATTAACACGGGCACAAGTGTATGAAGATCAAATCAAATTGAAAAATGAAGAAGAGAGAGAGTGAGAGAGTTAGAGAAAAAGAAAGAAAGTAGTGAAATGGTTAGTAAGAGAGAAAAAGGTGATGTAGCAAATAAGAGAGAAAACAATGAGGTGTCTAGTAGAGAGAAAAAGTGAGTAGAGCCACAAGAGTAAAAAATAAAAAATAAAAAGAGGCTTCGGAGAAGAGAAAAAAGTGTATAGAGAATTTTTTTCGCAAAAGGCAGTAAGCTGCGGAGAGCGGTAGTCGAGAGAAAAGAGATGATTTTGTTGATCTATAAAGAATCACACCTCAAACTTGAAGAATCTCACTCACCCCTCTCTAGTTTAGCTAAATCTTTGTTGCAGAAATTTGAAGAAGTGTTTTTGGAGGACTTGACAAGTAGATTGCCACCCATTCGAGGCATTGAGCAGCAAATTGACTTCATACTAGAGTTGTCATTCCAAACTGACCAACTTATCGAAGTAATCCTGAGGAGACAAAGAAGCTTTAGAGGCAAGTGGAGGAACTAATAAGCAATGGCTATGTAAGGGAGAGCATAAGTTCATATGTCGTTCAAGTTCTACTTGTGCCAAAGAAAGATGGGACCTGAAGAATGTGCATGGATTGCAGAGCCATCAACAACATAACGGTAAAGTATCGTCATTCTATCCCTAGGTTAGACGATATTCTAGACTTATAAACGGTGCATGTATATTTAATAAAATTGATCTTAAGAGTGGTTACCATCAAATTCGAATGAGAGAAGATGATGAGTGAAAACTGCATTTAAAATTAAATATGGCTTGTATGATGGTTAGTAATGCCATTTGGACTCACAAATGCACTAAGCACTTTCATGTATTTAGTGAATCATGTTTTACATGCCTTTATAGTAAAGTTGTGGTGGTTTATTTTGACGACATATTAGTTTATAGCAAAGCCTTGATGAGCATGTAGAACATTTAATGAGCGTACTTGTAGTATTAAGGAAAGAATAGTTTTAAGCTAACTTTAAAAAATATACATTTTGTATAGAAAATGTTGTCTTCCTAGGATTTGTGGTTAGTACTAATGGGGTAGAAGTAGATGAAGAAAAGATAAAAGCTATTAAAGATTGGCCAACACCTAAAAGTATAACTAAAATAAGAAGTTTCCATTGCTTGACTAGTTTTTATAGGCAATTTTTGAAGGACTTTAGCATGATCACCACAACACTCACTGAGGTAGTTAAGAAAAGCATAGGATTTCATTGGGGAGAAGAACAAGAGCATGCATTTAATGCCATTAAGGATAGACTATGTAAAGCACATGTATTAGTGCTTCTTAACTTTGATAAAACGTTCAAGATTGAGTGTAATGCATTAGGAATAGGGATTGGAGCAGTTTGGATGCAGGAGAGGAAGTCTATAGCCTACTTCATTGAAAAGCTGAGTGGAGCTGCTCTCAACTACCTTATATATGACAAAGAATTGTACTCACTCATTCGAGCCTTGGAAACATGGCATATTATCTGTGGCCTAAGGAATTCATGATACACTGATCATGAGTCACCGAAGCACTTGCAAGGTCAAGAAAAGCTTAACAAAAGGTACGCAAGATGGATAGAGTTTATAGAGACGTTTCCCTACGTCATCCGGTACAAGCAAGGTAAGGAAAATATGGTGACAAATGCTTTGTCTCGACGATATGTGCTACTAACTTTTTTGAGTTCTAAATTGCTTGGTTTTGAACACATTAAGGACATGTATGATGATGATCTAGATTTTTTCAGTGTTTACAAATCATGTAGTAAAAGAGCTATTGATATGTTCTTTAGGCATGATGGGTTGTTTTGGGAAAATAAATTATGTGTTCCAAATTGTTCAATGCGAGAGTTGTTAACGAGGGAAAGACACAGTGGGGGATTAATGAGACACTTTATTGTTAAGAAGACTTTAGAAATGTTAGGAAAACATTTTTATTAGCCAAAGATGAAAAGTGATGTTGAACGGATATGTAATCAATGCATAACTTGTAAGAAGACTAAATCTAAGGTTTTATCTCAATGGCTGTATACACCTTTACCTACTCATATTGAACCGTAGGTCGATATTTCGATGGATTTTGTTTTGGGTTTACCTAGGACTAAGAAGGGACGAGATTCAATCTTTGTGGTGATAGATAGGTTTAGCAAGATAACGCATTTCATACTGTGTCATAAAACTGATGATGTCACTCACATTTCTGATTTGTCCATTATGGAGCTAGTGCGTTTACATGGAGTCTTAAGAGTATCACGTCGGATAGGGATGTCAATTTCTGAGTCATTTTTGGCAGGTTTTGTGAAGGTAAGTTAGGCACAAAATTGCTATTCTCTATAATTTGTCATCCACAAATGATTGGCAATCCGAGATAGTAAATAGGACAATGACTCAATTGTTCCGCATTGTGATCAATAAGAACTTGGAAAATTAGAAGAGTGCTTACCTTTCATAAAGTTTGCATGTAATAGGGCCATTCACTCCATTATTTCATTTTCACCATTTAAAATTGTTTATGGTTTTAATCCACTAACCCCTATGGATTTAATACCTTTACATTTGAATGAACGTGGTAGCTTAGATGGTAAAAGAAAAGATAAATTGGTAAAGTCGCTCCATGAAAAGGTCAGAATACAGATTGAGAATAAAAACAAGTACATTGCATTACAAGTAAACAAGGGCTGGAAGAGCTTAGAATTACTTACAAGTTTAGACACAAATCACCAAAGACGAGTGACAGAAATTTAGAGTGAAAGAGATGATGAGCGAATGGAGAATTCGATTCTATGATTAGTAAAGGCAAGCAAAAGTCATTTTTGCCGAGCATTGCGGCCTTTTATAGGTAGAGACATTTAATCTCAACCATTAGATGTTGATCCAGATCATCTCACAGTGAGCCATTCACCTGTCTGTCATTTCGACTTCAAAAGCCTAGATCAAAGTGTCTGATTTACGCGCTCCAACGCGTATGAACCACAAAAGACATGACCACAACAGCATCATTTTGCATTAAATGCGGCGACGATTACTAGTGTGGGAATTCGAACCGTTACAGCCATCTTTTGTGGGAAGTGCAGAAAATAGCTTATCATTTCAGCATAGTAATTGAGGACGCCTCATATAATCAAAGTTGAATTGCTAAGCCTCTTTAGCACTATTGCCTGCAACCTCATTAAAATTAACGAAGCACACCATCTTGGCTTCAACATTTATAACTTCAACATGACCAAGGTTACATCAGTATGAAGTATGAACGAAAGACTTAAGGTACTTCAGCAAATAATCTCGACAAGTACTTTAAACAATTCATCATACTCGATCTTGAAACTCTAATTTTTATATAAATATTTACAATTAGACTTAGGGGACTATTGTGGGTTAAATACAAAAATAACTACCACTACAAAAATTTCTTTTCCAATGTAAACACAGAAGTCCGTGTATTACATAAATGACTAGTCTTAGAGGACTATTGTGGGTTAAATACAAAAATAACTACCCCTACAAAAATTTATTTTCCAATGTAAACACAAAAGTTCGTGTATTACATAAATGACTAATCTTAGAGGACTATAGTTACTCCTCATATATGAAGCTCCGGTGAAACTACATGGAGGCACTACATGCAAGCATCTGGTAGTCAACGAAGTCAAAATAAAGAAAAGGCAAAAGTTGCTCTACAACCGAAACATTATCTCTATTTGAGGTTCTTTTGCTTCAGCACTTTTTCCTGTGGCCGAACCTCTACACATTTGAAGTTCTACTAGACCCAAAGAATATATTCAAGATGGATTGATGTAATATTTATAGTAATGAGTATTAGATGTGTCAGCCTAGAAATGTAGGGTGGCTGACCTGTTGTCAATGTAATTAACATTAGACAGGGTGATATGAGGCTTCGGTTAATGAAATGGAGCCACGTGGATATAATCCAACGGTGACCACATCGGCTAGAACTCTATAAATAATAGCTTTTGAAACATTTTAAAGGGGTGGAAAAAGAAATAAATGTTAGACTTGATACATTTGAGCTCACAATTCTCTCTTGCTTGTCCCTTGGGGTAGAATTTGGATTCATTTTATTTTTGTATTGTCCACAATTGGTTTTTGTTTAACAATCATCATTGATCATATTGTCAATGCTCGAACGTTTTTGTCTCAGATCTAGAGCATCTCCTATGTTCACCACCTCCATTGAGCTCCAATAAAAAATTCGGTCAAAACGTGCCAAAATTTGCTCACGTGTGCGAGTAGGCCCAATACCTGTACGCACATTTTTGGAGTCAACACGTGTTAATCCAATTGGCCTGAAATAAAGTAAGAATTAAAATACTTTTATGAAGTTCAAAATAGACCTGATTTGGTGTCACGCATTTTTAAAGCAAAGTTAGAAGAGTTAAAAAAGATTTATTTAAAGAACATTTATTTGGACTTAGAGCATCACCAAGAGACTCTTTAAACATGAAATATTTTCTATTTTAAATATTCAACCCTTAAAATCATGCTCCAAGAGATTTTTTAAATTAACATTTTAATTTAGTGAGTTCGTAAAATTAAGTGTTAAATATAAAGAGCTTATTAGAGTACATCAAAATTTTAATTCTCTAAATTTATAGATGCTCTCCAAATGATAGAATATATTGTTTAAAAATAGAAAGTATCATGGAGATGCTCTTATAACATGCTCACTTTTTTTAATTATATTAAAATCGTGTTCAAAGATTATTTCTCCAAAAAGTGTAGACAAAATTATTTGTGTTGAAATTCTTGATAATACAAAGTATTCTTATTTACACTCTATTGTTGTCAAACACATGATACATGGTCCTTATGCTATTTTAAATCCAAATAATGTATGCATGGAAAATGGTGGAACATGTAGAAATCTTCATCCACTTCAGTACAATACGCATGCTTCTTTAGATGAAACTTTTTATTAAAAATATAGAGGACTAAATGATGGCATGAAAGTTAAAGTTAGAAAATTTTTCTCGATAATAGATGGGTTGTACCTTATAATCCTTATTTATTAGCAAAATATGATTGTCATATGAATGTAGAAATATTTTCAACAATAAAAGTTGTTAAATACTTGTACAAATATGCTTATAAAGGACATGACAATGTGAATTTTTCTATGAACGATGAGAGTAAGTTTGACAATGTAGATGAAACACAAAAATTCAATCTAGTAAATAGATCTCCCCC